ATCCCCTGTGGAAAAGAAAGAAAAAAAAGTGTTTTCCCCCTAGGTAAAATAATGTAAAGTTTATTTCCATTGGATCACAGCAAAGAGTTATAATGTAAAAATATATTTCCTGCCCACTGCTGTGATTTAAAAGAAAGCTGCCTCCTCATCCTTTGTATACATTACAAGTTATATGTGTGACTGTTAATGAAAACTGAGTACAATACTTCAGTTTCTCAGTGCAGAAATGCTGAGTAATCTGTGCTATGGCACTTCTAAGACTTTTTTTGTTTGTTTGAAATATAATGTACAGGCCAAGGTTATCACTACATTGACTGGTGTCTCCAATTGCAGCAAATAAACTTCCTAATGCCTTGATTAAAAAAAAAGTGCAGAGTCATCCTGATCTCCCTTCCTAGAAAGTTTACAAAAGCTGGCAGCAGCCAGCAGCTCTCCTTCCAGCAGAGCCTCATGGCCTCAGACTGGGGGGGTACCAGAGGCTGCCATGAGGAGTGATAAATGCACGACAAACTCCTGTCCAAAGAAGCTGACTGATTGTGACAGAAGGAACAGCTAAATGCTGAATAGGCATGATTTGGTTCAGAACACACTGAAGACATTGTTTTTCATGCTTAAAAGGTCCTAAGCATTCTAAGCAGAGATGGGTATGATGGTACTAAAGAAAGAGACCTCAGGAATGTGAACAGAATCTGCCTCCCAGCACAGACAGGATGTACCCAGCACCTGCATTAACATTTATTAATCTGACCTTTAGACCCGCAATGAAGAAGACTTTATCACCTCCTAGATTGTGTGTTCCAGAGTTTAATGAAGCTTAAAGAAAACAAGAAAGCTTTGTTTTTTCTGATATCTAATTTAATGGTTTTGGGGGATTTTTTTCCAAATGAAACCAATGACTTCTCGTTCTCAAGTAGAAATGAGAAATATTTGATTGTTGTCTATATTATACCTTTTTTTATGTTGAATGTTGTTGAGTCCTCACTGGCATTCCAGTCTATGAGGGGGAAAAAATTCAACTCAATCTGTTTCTCTTTGATTTTCATGTACGAATAACAGGGTGTTGTTTGCTGGTTTTATTCTCTAGAACATTCAGCCTGCTTTGTACCTTTTTTTTAAATGCCATCCACAACTGAGGTCTAGAGCTAGGTGATTTTAAAGGTCCTTTCCAAAACAAATCTTTCTATGATTCAGTAAAAAAAAATCATGCCCCATTTCAAAACAGTGCTCCAGTCCTCCTTTTTGAAGATGGATACTTTGCTTCTTCTTTCCATTTTTCTTGGACCATCCCATCTACATTTATTCCCTGAAATTATTTCTAATTGTTCAGAGATTGCTTTGGCTTAACTTTTAATTGATTCATTTCTCCAGGTTGATTGAATTTAACTCAACCAAGTTGCCTTTAATCTCTCATTTCACTCTTTTTGTTTCTGTCCCTATTCTTCTCCAACTTATCTGCTCTTAATTAATATTTTGCTCTTAAATTTGAGGCAGAAAAATGCATTATTTATTTTCATCTTCTCTGTGGCCTCCCTTTTTTGTTCTCCTACCCTCACAAATAATGGACTAAAAATTTCTTGTCTCCTTTCCTTTAAAGTAGTCATAGGCCATTGCGTGTCCAGCAAATAAAAAATTGCTGTACTTCATTCATGTCATGTTAGTACCAGAGAAACTTGGCAGTTTTGACCCAGAGCCAAAGACCCTCTGAACCTTCCTAGAACTGCTCTGTGAACTTAACTCCACTGTCAGTGTTATTGTGGCATTAGGAATGAGGCTGAAGGAACAGAATTTTATAGAGTGACTATGTTGTCTGAACCGTGAGAACTGTCAGAAGACATTCAGGAAAAATGGATTTGTATCCTTGTTGGGAGAAGTGAGTAGACCTGCTTCCCTGGGGAGAGCAACAGGGTCTGACTGGAAAACTTGGTATCAGACAAATGACATGGGCAAACCAGTCAGGCAAAGATTTTCTCTTGTGTCAGCAAGGGAATTACTGTTCTGTATTCCCCAATACCTGTGTTTGTGTGATAGAAATGAAGATACTTGTAAAAGAGGAATAAATGAAATTACTTCTGTATAATAAGAATCATAAGAAAATCAGTGCCAATTTTGATACTCAAAAAATCTACAAATATCAGTACTTTTTTTCCTTAAGATAATATTTGTTCTACTTGCAAAAAAACCCTAGAGTTTAATTAGAGTGTTTTAATTTTAAACATTATCACAAGTTTGACTACACACATTAGTGCATACTCTTGCATAGCTCTTCACACATCTGTTTTACAATAAAGCCCCTCTCTATTGTTTATTGCATAGCTACCCCAAGGTTAAATGCACTCAGGTACTCATCACTGAGAATGTGATACGTTAACACTTATAAATTGATAACAATAAAAACATGGCAAAAATGCAACTACGAACGCAAACTTGCAGGAGGGCAGATAAGCGAGATTTTGGAATAAGGAGAGAAAAGTCCATATTATTGTTAATTGTTGATAGAGCTGGTAGAGCATTGCTTCACCCATTCCAGTGGTGGAGTTAATCCAAGGAAGGGAAAGGAGCTGGGGAAGGCTCTGGAGCACAGGTCTGAGGAGCAGCAGCTGAGGGAGCTGGGAAAGGGGCTCAGCCTGGAGAAAAGGAGGCTCAGGGGGAACCTTCTGGCTCTGCACAGCTCCTGACAGGAGGGGACAGCCAGGTGGGGGGTTTGTCTCTTCTCTCAAGTGATAACCAATTGAACCAGGGAAAATGGCCTGGAGTTGCTCCAGGGGAGGTTTAGGTTGAATACTGGGAAAATTTTCTTCACTGAAAGGGTTGTCAAGCATTGGAACAGACTGCCCAGGGAAGTGGTGGAATCACTGTTCCTGAAGGCATTTAGAAGATGAGCAGATGTGTCACTGAGGGCCATGGTTTAGTGCAGGGCTTGGCAGTGCTGGGTTAATGGTTGGACTCGATGATCTTAAAGGTCACTTCCAGCCTCAATGGTTCTGTGGTTTTTGTACCATTAAATGAAGCCATGCCAGGACATGGGCCCTTAAGTGGTGACCAGCCTGGTCCACAACCTGCAGGAGACTTAAACATTTGCTACAGTCATATAAACATTGCATTCAAGTCACTTGATTCTGCAGAATTATTCAGCTGAAGGAGACAATCCTTTCTGCTTGATGGCCCAAAAATGACAGTGTGCAAGGCAGCTGTGCCTTGAGAATTTGAACAACTCACCCTAAACTTACCAGGGAATTCAAGGTCCCCCCTGAGCTGAGATGCTGGCTCATAAGAGAGCAGCATTTCCACACAGGCTTTTTGCTAGCTGCAAGACTTGGTACCAATGTATGTTTATCTTTCACTGGGGACACTGATCTGCAGTAGAGCAGGTAACATTCACAGAACCTGACAGTTTATGCTGTAATTTTCCCTGCCTAGAATGGCTGTCAGGAGTCTGCTTTGGGCAACATAAGCAGCTGTATGTATCCAAACAATTTAAATCTAAAGACAAACTCAACAGACCTTTCATTGCACACACTTGGTTATTTGCAAATCTTCTGTTGTCATATTTCTGGGTTTGATCTGAGAAAATTTGCTTTCTGTCTGCTTTGGTTCATGCAATTCTTCTACTACAGTGAGTGAAGGCTCACAAACAAAGGCAGAAACATCTGCAACCTACTCCTACTTCTTTTTCTGCTCATAGTGTGTCTCCTTACACTGGCCAGAATTTTCTCAGGGCTAGATCCAAAGTGAAGAGACCTTTTCACTTTCTAATCCAAATTCAAATTTGTGGTTTTAATTATTTTTTTAATTGTTTTAATTATTATTTGAAAGCCAAATTTATTGTTATTTGAAAAGCCAAACCGTTTTGGATGGGTTTTTTGAATGTTGGCTTTTCTATTTTCCTTCAAGTTGAAATTCTCTAATGGTAAATGAAAAAAGAATATGTATGTGTGTATATATTCTTTTCAACATATACATTATACAAGTATGTATATATGATATATAACCTGTTTGTTAAAATTTTCCATAAGATCAGCTTCAGCTTTATCATTCTGTCACAAAATTTAATAGCTGTAGACTTCCTAGACTGTGACTATGATGAGTAAAATTAAAGTCTGTATTAAATTTTAGATTATTAAAATATCATACCCCAAAAACACTTATGAATGGAATACAAAGTCAGAACCTGTCACGAAATACTGACTACATCTAACTTTTCTGAATGTTCTCTCGCATGAGGTAAGAGAACTCCTCATCACCAGGAGGAGCCCTGGATAGCAGAAAGAGACACAGATATAATCACAGAAAATAAACCCATATATTTTCTAGATAACGAATGTGGACCAATGACTTATCCAGTACACTACTCTCCATCATCACCACCAGCATGTCAATTTTCATAGTGTGCAAATTTGCATGCTATCATTAAGAGTTCCAATTTCACTCAGTAGGCAGAGAATCATGATACAAATTACTCTGGTTATTTGTATTTACAGCATAATTTTTCCTTCATTATTTACAAAGAAACAAGGTGTCCTATTCTTGGTCACAACCACTCATTTCTCAAATAATCCCTTTAATTTATACTCTTTGGAAGGAAATGTTACTTGTATTTTAAGTTTTTCAAGTTGAATCACTTAAACCTTGAAAGATGTAATAGGATGAAAAAAGGAATTTTTAAAATGAACCCCAGACTCGAACCAAACTTCGCATTCTCCTGTATATGCAGTCCATTTGGAAAGTAATTCAATGTCCACTAAAATCAATTAGTATCTTCATTTTTTTTCTGAACATGCAGAGTCTTAGAATGTCAGGACTGTTAATTTAGGCACCTGCAGGTGAACATGTTCTTTAGCTTTAGACAGACATTTAAGAGTTTTCCATTTGTTTAACCAGTGACAAAAACATAACAAAATTTAGCTGACAACATTTTTTTACTGCTGGAGGATGAAACATCTGGGGGATGACTGGACCCCCTATATTTATGCACAAATACAAACTTTGTTTTCTCATTTCAGGTCATGGAACCAAAGGAGTGTTTGAACTTCTTTCAGGATGGCGTCGGACCAGGGAGAATCTGCCCTTCAAGGACCGAGTAGCAGACGCCTACTCAGATGTCATGGTCTCCTACACCATGACCAGCTCCTTGTACTTCATAGCCTTCGGCATGGGGGCAAGTCCCTTCACCAACATCGAAGCCGTAAAAGTCTTCTGCCAGAACATGTGTGTCTCCATCCTGTTGAACTACTTCTACATCTTCTCTTTCTTTGGCTCCTGCCTGGTCTTTGCTGGCCAGCTGGAGCAGAACCGGTACCACAGCATCTTCTGCTGTAAAATCCCCTCGGCAGAATACCTGGACCGGAAACCTGTGTGGTTCCAGACCATGATGAACGACGGCCATCAGCACACTTCCCACCATGAGACCAACCCGTACCAGCACCACTTTATCCAGCATTTTCTCCGAGAGCACTACAACGAGTGGATTACCAACATCTACGTCAAGCCATTTGTGGTGATACTGTATCTCATCTATGCCTCTTTCTCCTTTATGGGGTGCTTACAGATTAATGATGGAGCCAACATCATCAACCTTCTTGCCAGTGAGTCCCCGAGCGTCTCCTATGCCCTCATACAGCAAAAGTATTTCAGCAACTACAGCCCCGTGATCGGCTTCTACATCTATGAACCTCTGGAGTACTGGAATGGTACTGTGCAAGAAGATCTAAAAACACTCAGCCAGGGGTTCAACACCGTGTCCTGGATTGAGCAGTACTACCAATACCTTCGAGTTGGTAACATCAGTGCAACCAACAAAAGTGACTTTATCAGCATCCTCCAGAGCTCCTTTTTAAAAAAGCCAGAATTCCAGCACTTCAAAAATGACATCATTTTCTCCAAAGCTGGAGATGAGAACAATATAATTGCTTCTCGTCTGTACCTTGTGGCCAGGACTAGTGAAAATACACAGAGGGAAGCGGTGGAACTGCTGGAGAAGCTGAGGCCCCTTTCTCTTATACAGAGCATCAAGTTCATTGTGTTCAACCCTACTTTTGTTTTCATGGACCACTATGGTTTATCAGTAACTATGCCTGTCCTGATTTCTGGTTTTGGCATCCTGCTGGTGTTAATACTGACCTTTTTCCTGGTTATCCACCCTCTGGGAAATTTCTGGTTAATCCTCAGTGTCACCTCAATAGAGCTGGGTGTCCTTGGCTTGATGACCTTATGGAATGTAGACATGGATTGCATTTCTATACTGTGCCTTATCTACACTTTGAATTTTGCCATAGATCACTGTGCACCCCTGCTTTATACATTTGTATTAGCTACTGAGCACACCCGAACTCAGTGTATAAAGAACTCCCTCCAAGAGCATGGGACAGCCATTTTGCAGAACGTTTCTTCCTTTCTTATCGGGTTGGTCCCCCTCCTCTTTGTGCCTTCAAACTTGACCTTCACACTGTTCAAATGCTTGCTGCTTGCCGGCAGTTGCACACTTCTGCACTGTTTTGTTATTTTGCCCGTCTTTCTAACCTTTTTTCCACCTTCCAAAAAGCACCACAAGAAAAAGAAACGGGCCAAAAGGAAGGAACGAGAAGAGATCGAATGCATAGAGATTCAGGAGAATCCTGATCATGTTACAGCAGTCTGAAAGGCTTAGAAAAATATAATAGTATATTCTCTTTTTAAAAAAGCATTGCACAGAGATGCAGGGAAAATAGAGCAAAGATCTCAGCTGCTTGTGCTGGCCAGGTCTGACAAGGCAAAGGAAGATCAAGAAGGGGTATTCATGACACCTCAAGGTGCAAACTTTTTTAACAAAAATAATGAAAGTGAAATAATCTCAAATGTTTCCTTTGAATCCTCATTCTCCACCAGGGAAGAGTCTGTTGGCCATTAAGTGTTCCTGAGTCTCAAACTATAGCTCTAATGGGAATTGCTTAATATGTCATATGTAGGACTAAAGCTAAGGTGAAAAAAAGGGTTGCCATTAGGTAAACACTAGGGGGAAAGGCAGATTTGTTTGAAAAAATTGTCCATGGAAGAGAATGAAACAATATTTCAAATAAGAAAAGGTTACAAGACCAAGAGAGAATGAAAATGCCATGGTAATTTTTTATTTTCTTGAGCAAGTTAGTTAAGATGAAACCTATGCACTTGGGAAGTAAATGTTTAAAACTATCTAAGCCAAAGTACTTCCCAAATCCAGTACACCTTGTATATCTGTAACACCACAATTAGAGCATTATTGCAAATATGGATGGCAGAAGGATAGAAGTACTATTTATACAGGAGAAGAAACAATCATAGCCATTTGGAAATCTAACACATGGTTCTTTTAAATGTGACATATCACTGTTATCCCAAGAGGTCACAGCTGGTAGTTAATACCATACACCTATTCTGGTAATTATGAATTTCCCCTTGAATTAACAGATCTCACAAAACTAACCCGGGCCATCATCACTGCAGCACTGTTTGCAGCTCCTGCAGTGCAACACTTCTGAATCCTAATTTATCGGTGTTGACATTAAATACTGAATATTAATCAAGCAGGAGCTACAAACGCAATGATGGATTGCATTTCACAGGCACAATGTGACCGTGTAGCAGCTGAGTCAGCTCTGGAGCACCTGCACAGTCTTAGCATCATATATTTGGTCCAAGGGATGAAGGGATATGTTTGCTGGTCCCTGCAATATGCTGCAGGAAGTGGGATTTTCCCCTTCTTTAAGCAAAACATTATACAAAAATATATGCCACACACTAAAAAAAAACCCACCTTGTAAATGTTTGCATGGGGTCAGATCAACCCCTAGCTGTAAGAAGACAGACTGGTCCCCTGTGGGAAGGGGAGGGGAGGGTAAAATGTCTTTTTTACTGTTATTATTATTCCTAAATATTTGAGTGTTGATCATCTGCAACATAAAGCTTTGTTATAGCAGTTAAAATTTCACAGGAGAGTGCAGTAAATCCTCAGTTACTATGTGGCACTAGAAATTGTACTGTAAAGGACTGTGAATGACTTTCTCTGCTTTGTAAACTATTCAGCTTAGTAGCCCAAGGGAAGGGATGAAAACAGATCTAGCCATTTCAGTTTGCTCTTGGCCCAGTTCTGCACTGGAGCTTGCCATGCCAATCTCTCCTTTCAGTATTTTAAAAGGGCTTGCTTTCTACTTTCTGGAATATGGTCTAGCATCTCCTCCATGAGCAATGTCTTCCTGAACCTATAGTATCCATGAGGACACTATGTAAAGCTATCACTATATGAAGTGTCTATGTCTACTTTGTATTACTTGTGGCTACCTTTAAAAGATAATCTGGAAGCTATTTGCCTTCCAAAATGTGTATACATGTCTATTTGTGGCTGATAACTCAGTCTCAAACCTGCAGAGTTTGCTGACAAGGAAGTGTACATATGTCTTACTAAAAAGCTCTCTGCAAGATGTTAATTCTTTGCTATGTGACAAGTCTCACCTCTTCCTACTGTTTTATGGTTAGGAAGAGACAGAAAAAAATCACCTGCAGTACAAAAAAAAAAAGCCATTTGAATGCCAATTCTAATGTTCATGAGCTGCTTCTGCTTCCAAAGGAATGCAATTTCACCTCTTCTCTATATTTTCAGTACTTTGTCATTATCGTTTGCCAAAAATGACCTCTGTGTTGTAGGAGTGGTCAAAGCTCTTGATTGCTGGAGAAAATTTTTGAGTGCAACATGTCTTAGAGAGGGAGAAACTTTCTAGACAGGCAAAGCTTCCAAAGATTGAATCTAGATTGAAAATACAGGGGTAGCTAGATCAAGGTTACTGGTTTGACCCAAAATATTCAAGGGCCAGACACAGAACTGAGATCTAAATAGTTCAGTAAGGTTTAGAAGCAGGGGATGTTTCAGTGTTGGGTTATGGGTCAGATGTGTTTCAAGTTGGGAAGTTTTTACTGACTTTGATTTGCATCTTGATGACATTGTGCAATATCCATCCTATTTTGAACAATCCGTTGTGAATGTCAAGCTTCCCAATCTTTTTAGATTTCCTCCACTGCCCACACAAAACCTGGATTGTTGCAGCACTGTGACCCTTGGTTATCACTTCTGGAGGTGCTGGAGGTGTCACCTGGGAAGTTCCTGGTCTTCTCTAGCACTGCCCAGATGTATCCCAGGGATGTCTGTCATGCATTGTGTTGAGGGAAACAGCACTTTCCAAAGCCATCAAAACCAGGATTCATCTCATCTACCTTCAGATATTAGCAATGTAGATATTTATATCTGAACTCCCTTTATGGCCATAAGAGAGTGACAGACACTTCTGATCCATTTTACAGCTGTATATTAGGAGTAAATGAATTACATTTTTTAAAATTCAGATTTCTGTCCACCGGTGATCAAGGAAGTTCAACAACTCGTTCAAATACAGACATCAGCAATGCTGACTCATCCAGTCTTGGGAAGATTAACCCCGCTTAAAATAACAAAATATCAAGAGAAAGAGAAAAGATTATAAACATGCCTCCCAAGCTTCAATTTTAGCCATAAATTCCAGGAATAACTCAGCCCAAATTTTATGTTTTGTTTATGAAGTATTATGCACAATAAAATTGTTTTAAAAAGTGGAATTCCCATAGCAGAGCCAAGACACCAGAAAATGTCAATATTAAAGGTGGGCTCACATAAATGAGCAAGAATTTGATGAAGTGTCAAACCAAGTCCTCTCAGTGTCATGCATGTGCAGTAGCGCTTGTATAACAGGTACCAAGTATATAGATCACACACTGGGACTAGAAGGTTTTTATTTCTCTGTCAATGCAGGAGTGAAGTAGAAAACAAACCACACCTTTCATGGATGTAATTTTGTTATTTTTTTCAACCAATTTTCACATCCTCCAAAAAAGAACCAGTGCAGCCTTTACTTCTGCAAATAGATCAGGTTCTGTGGAACAAGGAAAACTGGAGTAATTTTGGGACGCAGAGTCTGTATTTTTTAATTCTTTCTACTTGTTTTTGTTTACTTTTCTTGCTTTTTTTTTCCAGTACACTATATCTTTTTCTACAGCATCTTTTCAGCCTAACTGGAGCTGCATAGCACCTGTGAAGAAAGCACATAGCTCATGCCAAGCAATTTGACACTCTGATAACATGCTGCATATTGGATCTTCATTACACACCTTTTTCCCCAGTTACCATAAATCCCCTGCAATACTGTGCATATTCCTTTAATGTCTGATTTTATATACGGTCTAGATAATCTTCCAAGAACCTTGTGTGCATCTTCTGCTTGGTTTGGTTTCATTCCCTCAAAATATATTGCTTTGAATTTATTGTTGAGATAACTCTGTTGAAGTCAACAGATTTATTGCCATGATATATTTGACTTTGCATGTCTTCTATCTGCTAAGAAGTGATACCATGACAAATGAGCCTCTTACATTGTTGGTGTGCTTGTTGAACAAAATATCTGTCTATACTCTATAGCCATAGTTGCATGCTGAACTTGAGGGGCTGCAGTGAAGATTTGTTTTTTTACACTTTGTTCTGTGGGCTATTTTAATCTAAATCTAATAATTTTTTTCCTCTTTTTAATTAGAGTTAAGTCTTCATCTTTGTAGTCCAGTACTTGATGTAGGTTTAAATTAGATTTTAGGAAGAAATTCATTACTGTGAGGGTAGGGAGGCCCTGGCACAGTTTGCCCAGAGAAGCTGTGGCTGCCCCACTCCTGGCTGTGTCCCAGGCCAAGCTGGACAGGGCTTGGAGCAGTGCAAAGTGTGCTGCCCATTGCAGGTGGTTGAAACTAGATGGTCTTTAAGGTCCCTTCCAACTTAAACCATTCTATGTTTCATAGATTTATTGCCTAACAAATCAAAGCACTCTTTAAGGTCGAGGTAAACATGGATGCATGACACCTTGCATGCATAATTTAAAAATATTATCTTCAGGGTTATCACCCTCAACTTTTTACTTCAAACAATTCCTATTTAGAATGTAACCTGCTACATGTTAATGTCTATTCAAGTTCCTTGAACAACTCTAGTTTTGAAATTTTCTCTGATGGGAAGGAAAAGAACCAGGGGGGAAGGAAGAATGCGCAGTTAAGTGGTTGTGTAATCAGAGTTCTTTTTTTCCCCAAAGGCTTTCACTGCTCTACTCCTAATTAAGTCACACTGAGTAGCAACTCTAGCATAATTAAGATTTATTTCAACATAGTTATTCCATATTTCACTATGACAAGAGCTTGGCTTATTGTCTTTATGCAAGTACCATGCTAAGTCTCTGATTAATTTTTCAGTAATTATAAACTTTAATAAGTTATTTTTCATTGCAACACTAGGTTTTTGAGTACTTCAAGCTCCTATTTGATCTCCTAGGAAACAGTGTAAGGAAGCAACGTTAGGCAGTCAGTGAGCAAGAGACGTGTTGTAGTGTTGGGGAAATTGGATTCTTCACAAAGAGGCAGGCTTCAAACAAACAGTGATACTCAGGATATCTGAGAAAATTAAGGTGAAGTGGAAACCAAGTGAAACATTGCTTGGAATGTAACCAAATTATTATAAACAGATAAAGCTTTGATTCTTCTTTCATAACTTCTTACGCAGGCAAAAGGCATTTGAACAGGAAAGGAAACTGGACATGGAAAGCACCTCATCCATCACTTAAAATGATTCTTTTCACTGTAATCTTGCATAAACAATCTCACCCACCAGGTTAGTACTGGTTGTTCCACCTCAGCATGGGCCTCCCCATGGCCTGTTTTGCATGGAAATAAAGGAAGGGATTCCATGTTTGCTTTCACAAACCCTTGGGGAGGAGATTGAGAACTGCTTCCTTGCCTGACAGAACTGTGTGTGGGTGAGAGCTGAGAGATGCAAGTACAGGTAATTTCATGCCCCACTTGTTCTCTCTCTGCCTCCTCAAGAACAGCCATACCCTCAAACCCTGGTACCAACCCCAAGCTGAGTGCAGGAATTCATAACTTCCCCTGGAGTAACTTGGAATTGGTGACCACAGCAGCTCACAGGCTGACACGAGCTGGTACACCTCTGACTAAGAAGAGTTTAAGGACTTTTTTAAGAGATGTTCTTTGAGAGATTCCTCTTGTCACTACAGAGCCCCGTACAGCACCTCACCTGCCCAACACTTGAGTGGTGTAAATCCTTCTTCTGATATGGCAGTCAAGTAAAAGAATTTTCTAGAAGCTTTTATTTTTGATCATAGAGGCTTTTCCTAAATGCAATATTTTAATTTTTTTTCCCTCAACCATTTCTTCATCTCTTTCTACTTCCTTCATTGTTTAAAAGCAAAGGTCCCAATGTGAAATTCGGACGCTCATCCTACCCATCACAAAACATCATTATCCACAAATTTGAGGTGGGTTATGGATGTTCAGGTCAAACACAGGGATCAGGATTTCTTGCCCACACTGGCTGTCAAAACCCCGCTGAAAACGAGTAAATGTGAAGCAGTTCATCTTTCCTAGCTCTCTTTGTTTCCTCTCTGACATACCAGTGTGTACACAAAACTATTCTCACTTTTCTCCTGCTTCCTCATTAAAACAGAGTTTCTTTTTCCTGCTCCCTGAGGCTATCTTCTTTTTGCAGCTCAACTTATTTCACACTTTATTCTTCTCTGGGTGCTCTCAACCTCTTCAAAATTTCCCTATTTATTTTTGGAAATTCTGAGAGCATAACTCTGTTGAAATAAAAAGATGTTTCTATGCTTCAAAGTGCAGCCTGTGGTACAGACCTAACTAATTTATAACAAAGCCCAAATACCAAAATACTTTCTTCAGACAGAAAAGTGTCTGTAAGAAATCTCGGGAAAAAATTAAGCCTAAATTTCCATTTTTATGAGGTTTTTATCTCATAAACATCTACTTTTGATTACTTTACTGTAGGCATTTATTTTTCAGCACACTTTTATCCTAGAAATGCCTAGATTTTCTCTGCTTTTCTGTCTCAGCAAGAAAAATAAGTGGACATTTCTTCATGACCTCTAAAAGAAATTATTGCCCCTGCATGGAACAATTTTTTTCATCAAATTTCTGTCCAGAGCATATTTTCCAGCACATTAATTGTACAAATCACTGGAAACAAGTATTCTAGTGGAAATGCTGATACAGCCTTAACTACAGAAAAATGACTGGTACTTCAATAGCGTCCTGCTTAATTCCAACCCCTCGGCATCAGCCTGCTGGATACTCCAGGCAGTATTCCTTGCACGGATTGATAATCATCTCCTTCACCATGTGGGCAACACCAGCTCATCAGAGTATACCCTGCTTACACAGCAAAATCCTAAACAGATAAGCTTAACTTTTGCTAGAGAAGGGAAATATCCCAGGGTGAGGCAGAGTGGCAGCCCTCTGCTCTGAGAGTGCTTCTCACTTTCCCATCCGTGTGTTGGATTTTGCACTGAGCTGCTCTGTAAAGGACAAGAAATATCACTTTTCTTTCCATAAGCCATTTGAGAATAGGATGTGAAATATTTAAGATTTAGTCATGGATAGACATTTTTTACATGGGAATTTGAAAAGGGATGTCAATCAAATAGAGTAAAAGTCCCCATGAATAGAGAAATAATCTGAGTCCACAAATTCTTGCTATTCTGACTTGATATTTCTCTGATCTTATTTTCTTTCATCAATAAGGACTGAACTTTTTTCCCACTTACCACATTGAAGATAATCCCTGACCTACAAAAACATCCTGTTTGCCAGAAGCAGACATTCTCTTGGAGGAAATCCCATTGGTTTCAGCTCCATGTCAAGGGAGATTTTGCAGGATTTGGACAGCAGTGGTTAGTATGTACCTCCCCAGGCATAAGCCCTCATTCCCAACATGCAGACCCAAATACTAAATATGTAGGATTAGTAGGATGTGTGATTTTGCCTCTACAGAGAAAGAAGGGGTCATTGCAAAATCCAGTTCTGAATTCACCATAGGTGGAAAAGCAAAGAGTGGTCAAGGAGTCAGCCTTGCTATTACTGTACCTGTGTGAGAATTTCAGAGAGCTCATCCAACTGTGAAAGCTTAAACAAGGACAGTATCACACCCTGAACAAGAATTTGTTCTTCACTCACTACCTCAGAGAGCCCCCCTACTCCTGAACAGCATCATGGAGCCTGTCCGAAGTCCTAGGTATGACAAAGTTAAGTACAGAACTTAAGATGCAACTTCTTAACACCAGGTTTGGAATTTGGAATAACAGGTATTGGAATTTAATCTTCAATGCCATTAAATATCTAGAGAAGTTCCTAGCACAGCTTTGCTCCAGAAAATCAGCTCTCTCCCCAGCAACCCTGGCACAGTCTGGGTGCTGGCATGGTCCAGGGACAATTCCCACCAGAAAATGTAGTTACAGTCACCCCATTTTTAGACTACAGGATTGTTTTACAGTGTGGACACTGACAGACCACATCAGCCTCCTTCAGGGCTGCAGAGAAATCCTGACATTGCTTGATTAATTCTCAAAGTTATAACTTTAGACAGCAATGCAGCCTATGTTCATAGTGATATTTTACATCTGAAGATCTTCATCTGGCAAAATACTCAAGTAAATTATTTCATTTAATCAAATTCTAAAATCTCATGGACTGGAGCATCTTTAAATTTAAGCATGTGTTTAAATACTGAGCTAAATAAAGATGCACTTATCTCTGTGCTTCAAGTTAAATAGAAGTTTTGCAGAAATAGAAGCCTTAAGAGAAAAGGCCTTTTTTCCCATAACATACTAAATTCTACAATTATAGTAGCAATTTCACAATATGTAGAAAAACTGTGCCAAGCACATATATTTTTCAGGGTTTCAATTTCCCTGATGTAAGACATCTCAGGGACATTTTAGTGATTTGTTACAGTCATACAACACTCAGGCAAGAACAAAGCCTTGCTGAGCACTTTTTCTGGAAAAAAAATAGCAAGATATTTGACTCAGAATGAGAATACAGTATCTTGTGATGTTAAAACTCATTTCTAAAAGAAAAAAATGAAACTTTTCATTTAATTTAATTCATTATTTCTTTCAAGTGACTCACTAGAGAAGTGCTGGATATGTCTTTATTATGAATAAGACAGGAATTGCTCAATGAAGTTAAATTCAGCTTTGCCAATAAAACTATAATAACACCCCACATTAAAAAAAAAAATTAAAAGGCTTTGCGTCTAGTGTAAAATTTTTCATGGCATCATCTATTGCTCTTTAATTAAATTAAATATGAATGTTGTCATAAATAGGACAGAAGTGGAGAACCACATGTCCTGGGGCTGCATCTAGGAAAGAACACATATAGACTGAGAAGAGAAATCCAGTCCCCACTTGTGCAAAAACAAATGCAACTGCCAAGCCATAAACATGGTGAATAATCCAATTGGCTTCTAGTGGAGCCCTCAGGATGCATATGAAGATATGCACATAAATCTTTGTCAGTCTGAGGACTGGGGTAATCTGATATTCTAATCTGAAAAGGAAACAGAACTTCTCAAGCCTGACATTTCCTCAAACCCTTAGAAAGGTTCAGTGTAAGTAATCTCTGTCTCTTCCAAAAGCAAAGCTTTTTGAAAAACTTTTCCTGAAAACACAAACTCAGTAGGTACATAAGCATTTAGGAGTGTAATGAAAACCATGGAGTAACTCCTCCCCTGGGATGCCTGGAGACAATTCTTTTTGGAAGCATGGATGGAAAGGAATGTGCAAAAATCAGATATTAGAGGTGTCCCCTCCCAGGCTACAGTCAAAGGAGAGAAACATGCACTGCAATTCCTCGAGCTCAGACGGATCCTTTAGGATGAGAGTCCTTGCATGAGTCTGGCAGCAGCTGCGAGGGCTGGGGAATAGTCTGGGATAAGCAGTTCATAAACCTGAGGGCACCAGCATAAAATGGGGTCTGTTGGTTGTAACTGCAATGAAAACACTGAGAAGTGGCTCGGGGGTGATGGGCAATGGCCAGTTTGCCTGTTCTCTTTGGCTGGTGGGGATTAGGGCAGTCCCATTAGGGCTCCACGAGGGCAGCTCAGTGACTGGAGCAGTGCAAACAAGGCAGATGTGAGCAGCCAAGAGTTACTAAAACAGGGGCTGAATTAAGCAGGTTCTGTAAGGAAAATACAGGTAATTCTTTCCATTCTTTATTTTCATTTGCCCCTTCTTTCAACACAATGCTTTTTTTTTTTTTTAGCATATTATGGTCAGATATTCTACCTCCCTTTAAGTTGCAGAATTTGCTTCACTCTTCTTTTTTTTTTTGTATGAATGTAGATTAGATGTTTAATTACTGAGATTTCTCAGGTGTAGGCAACTTTACTATGCTATGGATAAATAGCATAAGTCAATATTGATTTTCCTCCCTTGTAAAGCTCCCTTGTTGCCGAAAACTGTTAACATTTCTCAAGATTCAACCATGACCATATTTGTGTAAAAGCCTTTTACTGAGCTTGAAACTCTATACCAAATACTTATGTCTTTTAAATCTGAAATCTTCAATAAAATATCTTACTCGTAAATATTAGAATTTCCCCTTTCTTCAATAGAAAGATATTCAGTATTAATCCATATTACAGTATCATTTTGTCAGCTGCCTGTTGCCTAGCATTTAGATTTAGAGGAAATGAACAGGGCTTTTTTTAAGAGCAAATGTGGAGCTAAGATGTTGGACAGCAGCAGGAACTGGCACCTCCGTCCTCACAAGAGGTACAGGGCATTTCAGGACTTAGGAAGAGTGGGTCAGAGCCAGGGAATTGGCAGCCCTGAGCTGGCATATGGTCCCTCACTGATTATCTGCAGATAGGCAATTTACAGGTGCCCTGAAGCTGTGTGAAATGCAACCAAATGTTTCAATTTCCCCAACAGAGCTGGCTACACAATGGCCTCCACAGAACACAAGCCAGTTCCATTCCTCACCAAACATTCCTGCCAGTGGATCCTTTCTCCCCAGGTTTCCTCCTGGTTTCTCGTTCAGCCTTCTCCCCTCTCCTCACAGCCCCAGCAGCTCTCAGCTCCTCTTCCCACACTGGTAGAGTTGGAATTTCAAGCCCTTCCAAGCAAAAGGCATGGGGTAACCTTTCCCAGGGCTTCTTGACCATCTCTGGGAAGACCAAGGAGATCTACCCACATTGTACCCAGTGCTGCCCCATGGCTCAGAGATCTGCCCCTGACTCTTTGCCACCTCTTCTCTTGCTCTCAGTAGTGCAGGTACCAGCATGAGCATCCCTCAGGCCCTGCAGTTTACAGTGAGCTTCTAAGGACATATTAAATCATTCACACGTTCATTCACATTCCTCCATCCAGAGCAAATGGGAATATTTGTGCTTTTCTTTCAAGTCTCTGTCTGCATCCTGAAGTCCTGGTCTGTGACACCCTGTCTAGAGGGAACGTACTGGACTCAGATTATGTGCCTGGTTTCCTTTCAAATGAAAACAGGCAGAAAACACAGTGCAGCAATTTTCACCTGAATGTGAGGAAAAACTTATTAGCTGTAAGGGTGATTGGGGTCTGGGACAGATTGCCAAGAGAGGTTTTGGGATCTCTTTGTCTGAAGATACTCCAAAATAATCTGAACACTATCCTGAGTTATACACTTTCAGGGACCCTGATTGAGGGGGGTTGGACTAGATACCCTCCAGTTGTCCTTTCCAACCTGAACCTGAACCACTTTTGTTTCATTTAACTAGGGGGATAAAAAGTAGAAAATCTTTATTTTTCTTCTAATAGACTGATTTCAGGGCGAAAAAGAATTTTCCTCTATTACATGATAGCTACTAACACAGCTTTATTTGGGAGAAGGTGTTGACACCTGCCAAGGTGAATGAAGCAGAGAGCCAGTGGTGCCTCAAGGCCAGGTTGGATGGGGCTTGAAGCAACTGCTCTAGTGAAAGGTGTCCCTGCCATGGCAAGGAGGGTGGAACCAGGTGGTTTTTAAGGTCTCTCCCACCCAACCCATTCCATCATTCAATAATTTTATTTCTCCTCACCTGTGCTAGGTCCTGCTGATTCTGCTTGTGTTGATTCTGTGCTAGTTTCATATTCATGAGGGAGGATGCAGATTTGACCCAAAGTTACAGAAGTACCCTAGAGACCAAAAAGAGTTTTTTCACTGTTTTCCAAGGAATAGTTAAAAAACTCCCTAAACTGTTATGAATAAGAAAAGGTAGCTTAGAACTGTGGCATGAATTTCTCTTCTTCATTGCCAAGGACATAGAAAACATTGACCAAGTTTTCTGTGCATGTTGCAAATAGAACAATTAGAAACTCATTTCAACCAGCAAGGCCCTAAACCTGCTGAGCTCCTACAAGCAGGGTAATTTATGTCTGGCTGTAAGAGAGAGATCCCAAAGGGTTGAGACTGCAAGCAGCCATAATATGATGAGAGTTTTGGCAAATGTATTTGCTATTAAAATTAGGGGTGGGGGGAAAACTTTAATATTAATTTTGCAAATAGATTTCTCTTCACCCCCCAACCTGGGTTTGGTCTGGGAAATTACAACAATAAAGTAAAATTAATGACAACAAATCTGTCTTTCAGAGGCAAGTCAGACCTGCTGGCTGCAGCTGGCCACTATAAAGAAGCAGCAATTGCTGTTCTGGCATATAAAGTAACAGCTGAAAATACTGGGGTTTTGCTATTTTAGCTTATATTGGTACTTATGCTGCCCTCCAATGATAAAGACTGTTGTTCCAACCTGTATTCTGTACTTCTGTTGCATTTTATTTCTGGTCTGCTCAATTTGCAGAGAAAACTGCAGTTCTCATTCCAGAATTTTAGCAAGTTCTTGTCTAAAACTAATAATAGTATAGTTCCAGTTATTTTTATTTGTAGCTTTTTTTTTAAACCAAAAGAAAATTCAGATCAATTTAATGTGAGAAATAAAATAAATAGCATGGATTTAAATACCAAAAAAAACACTCAAATACATAACTTTGGACCTACTAAAGTATCACAGTTAATAAGAGTTTCAATTAAAGAATTTTTTTATACAGATTGACATTTTAGTTTTAGTTCTGTAAAAAAAATCCATGTTCGTTGCTGTTATTATGAAAACAGTACTTTCAGTACTGAATTTTGGTGGTGTATTGGTGGATGGATCTTAGATCTGTTCTGAGTTCCTGGTTCTCTCCCATGCACCTCTGAAATACATGAATAGTGGGAAAGTCAGGTGGCACCTTCCTGGCAGCACACAGACAGACAAAGCATTGGTAGCATTGAAGCGTCTGTGAGCTCATGGTGCAACAAAAGAGATTTATATGTTCCTGAGCTCAAAGGATTGGCACAGCTTCTCACAGCAAATTGAGTGTTCCAGAGGTATTATTGGTGCTGTAAGAACCCATCACCTGCCAAGAACTGACCTGTATTTTGGCTGATTGCAGTACCTGTAGAAATATGAGAGAGTGGAAAAGTTTGAGCATATTTTACTCTGCTGTTTCATTCATGACCACTTTTGGATTTCTAGCTGCAATTTACATTTCACTTGGGAACGATGCAGTGGTGCTGGTTGCTTTTTCTGTTCCTCCTTTACTTAGTGCTTTTTCTCAGATATATGGCTGCAGCTCACACAGACATTTCTCAGTTTTAGAATATGGGATGCAAACAAAATATTCATGAGAAGCTGAGTAAGTGCCTGAGTGAATGGCTTGTGCAGAAACCCCTGTTGCTCTCATTATCAGTGGTAACTTTTCTATTGCTCTTAAAACTAAATGAACCTTTGGCTCCCACCCCCATTGCAGTGCTCTGGGTTTGCATAGTGATAGCAGGACAGGTCAGAACAGAATTCTGTTCTGGAGCTGAAGGATTTTGCATGATTTCCCCTCGACAATTGAGAGTTTAACCACCATTGACGGTTTAAAGACCATTCACTTCTCCAATGATAAGCATCCACGGAGTATTTTTGAGGGGTAGCGTCAGTCCAGGCTGAGCAGTTATTCAGCTACAATGAGCAGAGCCCCACTGTGAGGTGGTGTGTCCACAAGATTCCCCTATATAGAAAGAAATGATTTCTTGCATTTTATTGGTCTGGGGTAGTAATTTTACCAACCCTTCCAGTCTAGACTTACCCAAAATAGTATTGAACAAGAGCTTGAATGGGTGTGTGTAGCATCCAGGCAGAAAGCTTGCTGAACTGATAATACTCCCTGAAAGAGTTAATAACCAAAAGGGTTTGCAGAGTATCCTCAGGGCTTGCTGGATGTAGGTCTGGTTTTCAGCAGCCAGCTCAAGAAACAATTTTATGTAAACAGATGATGTGCCTGAAGGTATCAGTGAAGAACAGGCCCAGGGATGGAAAAATACAAGACCTCATACCACACCAGAAGTTTTTCATTCTTTACACAAATGGAGCTGCCCTCTTAATTATCTCAATCTGGGCCAGGTTAATTGGAGCCTTCCCTGACGTGAGTCAGTCTCACACATTTTCTGCATCTTTGCTAATTAAGACAATTTTCACCTTTTATAGTTGCTTTAGTATTCAGAGCAGTTTGCCATAGGCTAATTATAATTATTGAGTGATGGCTTTAAAATTTCATGTTTGTGATGACATTTTATCACATTAAATTGGAATCCCATAATCCTTCTTGCTCTATGATAGACAAGAAGGTCATCTCTATTCTGGAATTTATCCACTGTGCGATACTGTGCTGACATTGGCCATTTTCATTCAGAACCACTGCAATCTCTTCTACTCTTCAGCTGAAGACATTCAGCATCCAGCTGATTCCAAGGGAATACAAAAATACTGAGTTCAGGATCCAAGGCACAATCCTTTTGCTTTCATCAGATAGACGTCCTTGGTCTGTGTGATTTGGGAAAACTGGATATGCAAGAACTGAGGCACAGGAAGGAAGAAGCCAAGGCAACACATCATTGCTCCTCTGTGTGCAAATCCATGGCATTTGAAGAGCATAATCACTGATGCAGAGTGGAAAGTCTTCCCTTGAGATTTTCAAGGTTCCCTTGAGCTGGAGGAGCAAGGAGAAGAGCTCAGTCTCATCGAGCAGTCATTGCTGCTTTCAGGCAGTGCTGTATCACAGCCCACAGCAGCTTTTCCCCACCCCTCTGTGAAGGTGAAGGCTCCTGCAGGTGTTCTCAGGGGGTTTCCAGAACTGACACTTCCCTGGTGTAACTCTGAACAGTTCAAGGCTTGACAGCAAAGTCCCAAAGCATCCTCTTTGCTTCATGGCCATGGCTTTGCTCCTTATCACTCTAGCCGCAGTCCCTTGGGTTTTGGTTCAAGTTTGAAAATGCTGTAAATAGAAAAATCAGGGCATAAAGTGGAAGAAACTTCCTGATTGACATAAGCATAGTTTGCTTGGATTCATCCTATAGTGTGTAAGGGAATTTACTTACTGAATTGCAAATCTGTGCTAACCTACAGCCTTGCAGAGGGATTTCCTGCACTGAGTGGTGCTGGTGAGGAGACAGAGCAGTTTGCAAGCAGAGGCAGAGCTGTGTCAGCACAGCCCAGGCTGGAGCTCGTCACTCCTGTGCTGAAACAAGGCTGTCCTGTGAGTAACA